GTCGGGCTGCGCAGGCTGCAGGGAGTGCGCCCCACGGCGATGGAACTCGGAACGGGGAGGGTGCCGTTATGAGGCGCCGCGGCAAGAGTGGGGAGGCTGCCAGTACCGGGCATGCGGCCCGACTCAGCTCTTCTCCAACTCGACCGCCAGCTACCGAGATGTCTCCATCGAGGTGTGCCAGGCGCTGTGCGCCGCTTCGCAATCGTGCTCGGCATTTGCATGGCACAGTGGCGGCGACGGGTGCAGTCTATATGGTACGCCAGCTCACGACTCCGCGACGGGCCCAGTCGTCTGGACAGACCCGACGACGGGGAAGGAGACGCACGCTAGCAGCACCTGCTATTTCCGCCCTGCGCCGCTGCCGTCGCCGGCCGAAGCGAGCTCCGGCGAAGAAGGCTCTGGCTCCGGGGAAGAAGGCTCCGGCGGCGCGGCGTGTCTCGTGCCAGCGCCGACCCAAGGTGGCAAGTCCTGCCAGGACGAGCCAGCCTCGTATGACGGCTTTGTGAGCGGCACCTCTCCCGCCCACATCCTTGAGACGTGCAGACAGATGTGCCGCGACGATCCCGCTTGCAACTACCTCTCCTTCTGGCAGCCGCTGCCGCGGAGCCTTGGCCGCAATGGGTGGTGCCGCCTCACGGCCTCGTGCGACAACCTCTGGCCGTCGAACGTGCTGCACGACATCTACGTGATCCCCAAGGCTTGCCTTTTCCGCCTTGCGCCGCCGCCGTCGCCGCCACGCCGCACGTCCTTCACGCCGCCCTTGCCCCCGCCGTCCCCGTCCTTGCCTGAGCCCACGCCACCGCCCCCGTCTTTGCCTGAAGAACCAACGACGCCGCCACCGACGCCACCGACGCCGGCGAGGCCACCGCCACCGTCGCCACCGCTGAGCGGTGATGACCTTGGTGACGGCGAATACGGCTCGGGCCAAGCGAGCTCCGGCGAAGAAGGCTCTGGCTCCGGGGAAGAAGGCTCTGGCTCCGGGGAAGAAGGCTCCGGCGGCGCGGCGTGTCTCGTGCCAGCGCCGACCCAAGGTGGCAAGTCCTGCCAGGACGAGCCAGCCTCGTATGACGGCTTTGTGAGCGGCACCTCTCCCGCCCACATCCTTGAGACGTGCAGACAGATGTGCCGCGACGATCCCGCTTGCTACTACCTCTCCTTCTGGCAGCCGCTGCCGCGGAGCCTTGGCCGCAATGGGTGGTGCCGCCTCACGGCCTCGTGCGACAACCTCTGGCCGTCGAACGTGCTGCACGACATCTACGTGATCCCCAAGGCTTGCCTTTTCCGCCTTGCGCCGCCGCCGTCGCCGCCACGCCGCACGTCCTTCACGCCGCCCTTGCCCCCGCCGTCCCCGTCCTTGCCAACGACGCCGCCACCGACACCACCGACGCCGGCGAGGCCGCCGCCACCGTCGCCACCGCTGAGCGGTGATGACCTTGGTGACGGCGAATACGGCTCGGGCGAAGCGAGCTCCGGCGAAGAAGGCTCTGGCTCCGGGGAAGAAGGCTCTGGCTCCGGGGAAGAAGGCTCCGGCGGCGCGGCGTGTCTCGTGCCAGCGCCGACCCAAGGTGGCAAGTCCTGCCAGGACGAGCCAGCCTCGTATGACGGCTTTGTGAGCGGCACCTCTCCCGCCCGCATCCTTGAGACGTGCAGACAGATGTGCCGCGACGATCCCGCTTGCTACTACCTCTCCTTCTGGCAGCCGCTGCCGCGGAGCCTTGGCCGCAATGCGTGGTGCCGCCTCACGGCCTCGTGCGACAACCTCTGGCCGTCGAACGTGCCGCACGACATCTACGTGATCCCCAAGGCTTGCCTTTTCCGCTCTGGCACCCTTGCGCCGCCACGTCCCACGTCCCCGCCGCCTGCCACGCCGCCAGCCTCACCCCCTCCGTCACCGACCCCATTGCCACCTCCCACGCCGCCGCCGTCTCCTCCGCCCTCGCCGCCGCCGCCGCCGCCGCCGCCCCCGTCCTCGCCTGAGCCCACGCCTCCGCCCCCGTTCTTGCCTGAGCACACGCCACTGCCCCCGACGCCACCGCTGCCGTCGCCCTCTCCACCGCCGTCGCCACCGCCGTCGCCGCCGCCCTCTCCTCCGCCGTCGCCGCCTCCGTCGCCACCACCGTCACCACCGCCCTCTCCTCCGCCTTCTCCGCCGCCGCCGCCTCCGACGCCACCGCCGCCGACGCCGCCGCCGCCAACGCCGCCGCCGCCGCCGCCAACGCCGCCGCCGTCGCCGCCGCCCTCGCCGCCGCCGCCGACGCCGCCGTCCCCGTCCTCGCCTGAGCCCACGCCTCCGCCCCCGTTCTTGCCTGAGCCCACGCCGCTGCCCCCGACGCCACCGCCGCCGTCGCCCTCTCCACCGCCGTCGCCACCACCGTCGCCGCCGTCCTCTCCGCCGCTGTTGCCGCCACCGTTGCAGCCGCCGCCGACGCCGCCGCCCCCGTCCTTGCCCGAGCCCACGCCGCCGCCCCCTTCCTTGCCTGGACCAACGCCGCCGCCCCCGACGCCACCGCCGCCGTCGCCACCGCTGAGCGGTGATGACCTTGGTGACGCACCGTTGCAGCCGCCGCCGCCGCCGCCGCCCCCGTCCTTGCCCGAGCCCACGCCGCCGCCCCCTTCCTTGCCTGAGCCAATGCCGCCGCCCCCGACGCCACCGCCGCCGTCGCCACCGCCCTCACCTCCACCTTTGCCGCCACCCTCACCTCTTACACAGAAGGCGCTTGTCTTCACCGGGACCTCAGGCTGCTACGTCGACCTGCCCAACATTGGCGGTGTGAGCACGTTTGCCGCCTTCACCATCGAGCTATGGCTCAAAATGAGCAGCACGGCCGGCGACGGGGGCGGCGATCCCATCGCTCTGTGGCTCGACATTGTCAGCGTCCGTCCGGCGAGCTCCAACAGGGTGAGAGTCGACGCAGTGTACGATCGCACGGGCGGCACAGGCGACCTGTACTGGTCGGATTGCACGAGCACGACGCTGAGTGTGGGAGTCTGGTACCATCTCGCCATCTCCGTTGCCTCGCGATCCAGCTATCCGCAGGTGTACCTCGACGGCAGCCTGCAGTCGTGCAAGAATGGCGTCAGCAGCCACGGCGGCACCTACCACGCGGATCTCATCGGCGCGCACTCTGTCAGTAACGCGAACACGGCGACCACGTCCCCCGGCGGCGGCTACCGCTTCCGGGGCGAGATGACCGACATCCGCATCTGGAGCGTCGCGCGCACGTCGTCGCAGATCGCCGATAACATGCGGGCCCTGGTCCCGAGTGCAGAGGCAGGCCTCGAGGCCAACTTTCTCTTCAGCGACGACACCGGCGTCTCCGGCTCCGTGTGTAACGACGCGGTCGGCAGCTACTCCGGCCAGTATGTTGGCACGTGCACCGTCCGCGATTATGCGCCGCTGTGGCCACCTTCGACGCCGCCACCGCCACCACCGCCCTCGCCGCCGCCTCCGTCTCCACCCCCGCCCTCGCCGCCGCCGCTGTGGCTCCTCGGGACCGCGTCTAGCTATGGGCCCAGCGAGCCATACGTCCATGGCAATTTGACGGATTTGCTTGCACCGCCGCCGTCGCCACCGCTGAGCGGTGATGACATTGGTGACGGCGAACACGGCTCGGGCGAAGCGAGCTCCGGGGAAGAATTGCTTGCACCGCCGCCGTCGCCACCGCTGAGCGGTGATGACATTGGTGACGGCGAACACGGCTCGGGCGAAGCGAGCTCCGGGGAAGAAGGCTCTGGCTCCGGGGAAGAGGGCTCTGGCTTAGGGTAGAAGCGCAGGATGACTCGAGATGACCTCCCCGGTCTCGTGTATTATTTGACGCGCAGCTGCACCTGCAGCCTGGGCTGCAGCTTTCGCCACACTCGCACACATTGGCATGTGCGTACAGTTTGTGAGGAGAAAGAGGGGGGGGGGGGGGAAGATAGATCTCGAGCGCGCATGTACCTCCGCCTGGCGTGAATCGTGATCGCGAAGAGTAGGAAGAGGTGGCTGCTCGCGCATGCATATATGACCCCCGGCCCGGTCCCGCCTCATCTCGATCGCCGGGGACCGCGCTCCAGCCTCCACGCGCGCCGGGGCCCCGGTGGCCATTTCGAGACATATTCGCAAAGAACGCTAGCTACATGGGAGGGCTTCGTGAAGGGTGGATTGAAAAACAGTCGAACAAAGAAGAGGCGGCGGGAGGAACCGGCAGAGGGGATGCTCGGATGCAGTGACGTGACACGCTGACACCCCCCCTCACACTACTCTCACACACACACACACACGCACGCACACACACACACACACACACACACACACACACACACACACACACACACACACACACACACACACACACACACACACACACACACACACACCGCTCACTCACGCGCACCGGGCCTTGCACTTTGAATGCCGTGGGGCTCCTGTCGTTAGACGTGGAGACGCGAGGGTTGCCCCCTTTGCCCCAACACCTCGTGTGTGTGGAGAAGTTTACCTTACCTGTACCTTACGCCCCGGTGGGCGCGGCGCTTTTCCTGACATGAGAGGATTTATGAGCCGAGAAAACGGGAGGAGCCGAGCATGCGGAGCGAGACTGAATGCTTGTGGCTCTACACTTGGCCGCGAGGTTCACCTTCTCCCCGAGCCCTAGGTCCACTGCCCACCTCAGTGGCCCCAACAATTGTGAGACGGTGTATCGTGTATGTGTCCGCACATTGCGGCAGTCTCCGCGGCCGGTTCCCACATCCCAGGTTCACCCGGTATCTGAGCTCTGACCTCGCTGTCCCCGTGTCCCGCTCTCAGCTCTCACTCCACGGCCACTCACACCAGTCACACCAGTCACCTCTGTGGCCGTGATCCGTGTTCCCGAATCGCGGGTGGCCGCGAAGTACCGCAACCGGACCGGCCCAGAGGCAGAGCTTGTCACAAAAGAAAAAAGCGAGGAATTCTCTTGCCAACAACATAGCCTTCCCACTAGCTCCTCCACGGCATCTCGAGCCCTGCGTGCACGGCATGGTCAGCCCTTGCCAACGAGCTGCTGGGGGTCCCTCTGCTCCAGCTCCAGCTCCTTCTGCTCAAGCTGTGCGGCGAGGGGAAGGACATTTGGTCGGTTGTTGCGTGGGCGGCGGCTCGTGGCCCGTTTCGCACACACACACACACACACACACACACACACACACACACACACACACACACACACACACACACACACACACACACAGAGAGAGAGAGAGAGAGAGGGAGAGAGAGAGAGAGAGAGAGAGAGAGAGAGAGAGAGAGAGAGAGAGAGAGAGAGCGGGTGAGGCGAGCGGCGACACCTCCTCGCTCAGCTTGTCGCAGTCGAGGTTGGCCAGCGTCACCATGTCAACAAGCAGCTCCACCTTGAGCTTGAGCAGGTTGACCTCGGAGCGCAGCGCCGTGTTCTCGCCCGCGAGCTGCGCATTCTCGCTCGAGAGCCGCTTCGCCTCCTCCTACAGCCCCGCCACAACCAGCCCTCAGCCGCGGGTGCGCCTCGGTCGCGTGCGCTGACTCGGTGGCTGGCTGTGCTCCTGCGCTGCCGCCGACGCCTGCGCCGAAGATTCTGCAGTGCTCTGCTCTCCGCCAGCGCTCGTCCAGGCGCCGTCGGAAAAGGTCAGCGAGGTCGAGCCGAGCGTCAGGGTGACCTGCCGAGCCAAGCGTGCGATCGGTCAGGGAGCGCAGTGGCGCGACGTCGGCGCCGAGGCGCGGGGCGGGGTGTGCCGGCTCCACAACAGTCTCCTCGAGCCGGTTGGACTCGACGTCGGCGGCGGAGGAGGCGGCCGAATCGGCCTTGCTGGAGCGCTTGAAGGAGTTGGTCGCCTTGACCGACTTGGCGATCGAGCTGAACCGTCCCATTATTGCTGCGGGAAGCCGCTGGCCAACTGGTGCCCCCCGGGGCAGCCTCTCAACGGGCGCTGAGGAAGAAGAAAACGCGCTGCCAGCCATGCCTACCCCAAATCGGCGCTCGGCATTTCTGCTCTGGCAGCTCCTCGTGGCCGTCGCCGGCGCGCTGATCTTGCACGCTGCGCCCAGACCTCTCCGGCACGCCTTGCGGGCGAAGAGTCTGTGCTCTGCGGTGTCGCCCACGCAAGGGGACACCATCCGTGTGACGGCCGACGTGGCTGTCAAGGGCAGGAGCGCCAAGGGTCTGACGGGCACGGTCCTGAAGGTGTTCGGCGAGGGCGACGACGCCACCGACGACTGGGGCGCGTGCTGCGAGCTCGCGTGGGGAGAGCCCACCATCACGGCAAGGCTGCAGCGCAAGGTGACGGGCTACTTCGATTTCCGCGAGCTGACGCTCCTCCACCGCGACCAGGCGCGGGTCGCAGCCTTCGAGGCGAGGGAGCGCGAGCGGTGGCGAGCTGTGTACGACGAGGATTGGACCCCGCCTGCTCACCGTGAGCTAGTGGAGGGGGACCGGGTGCAGGTTGTGGCCGACGTCGCGGTCAAGGGGTACGCGAGCGCGAGAGGCATGCAGGGCGTCGTCGCGAACGTGTGGGCCGAGTGTGAGACCGACGCCGCGTGCTGCTGCAACGAGCTGGCCACAGCGCCCGTCACAGTCGAGCTCGAGCCCGAAGAGGAGGGGGAGCTGATTGGCTACTTTTGCTCGGAGGAGGTGGAGGTGCTTGATGGCGCCGCCGCTGGGTAGGGGCAGTGGACACGGCTAGCTTCCTTGTGAAGGCGCGCCGCCAGCATCTCTGTTTTTCTCAGCCTTTCGAAAGCCGTGTACGCACACACACGACACAGCTCGAGCGCACGCACTCTGACTCTCACACGCGCTCATCTCTGCGGTGCGCTCGACGCTCCTGCTCACATCACAACCTCTCTCTTGCCCTCTCCTGACGGCCACCCTCAATCGCGTAACAGAGGGGCTTATTTGGCGATCGTGCGCGAAACTACATCCGTGATCGAAAGTACAATAGCCCTATCACAAAAGGTTTGAGGATAGCTAGATAGTAGCTAGGCCGTGGGATCCGGAAGGCTCCCACAGGCATTTTAGAAGTGGTGCGGTGGCGAAGCGGTAAAACTGCGTCGGCGCCGGGCCTTGCGGCTCGGTCAATCGACGGACGGAAGGAGGCAATACTCTCCGTGGCGGGGTTGGGATGGCGGGGGGGTGGCGTGAAAAATCCTCGGGCAGAAGCTCTCATGCGGAAGAGGTCCACGCCCGCCCTTGGCTGTCGTGTCGCGGTCGGTGCTGCAGCCTGCGCTCCCAGTGATCGCGCTTCCACGTAGGGACCGTTGAGAACCCGCTTTGGGGGCTCTCATCAGCGCCCGAGTCGTGCTCTGTCGGAGCCGCGAGCGTGGCAGCGAGCTCCTCCAGCGCGCCAGCCGCGGCTGAATTTTTTCTCTTGTGGTGCTTGGCTGGCGCAGCGGGCATCAGCAGCAGTGCCAGCAGCAGCATCCTCAGCTGCCGACGCGCCGCAACCCAAGCAGCAGCAGTGTCGGCGTGCTGTGCTCCGATGTGTCGGCGTCCCGAGCAATTGAGGGATCGGCGCTTGCATCTGCGGATCCCCGTTTGGGGTTTCCGATTCTCACACCTCTCCGAGCTTTGTACAGCAGGGGACGCACGTCGAAGGTGTTCGGCCGAGCTCGCCAACTTCGAAGCAAATCTCGCCCGCGTGCGTCCCCCTGCTGGCCCAAGCTCGGAGAGAGAGATTTTTAGCAATACCAAACAACTCTAACTGGAGGCGCACTTGGCCTGTATGTATGTACAAGCAAGGGTTTCCTCGCACCCTACCTGGTTTCCTTTCCATGTTTCCTGCTAGTTTCCCTACAGCACCCTCTAGTTTCCTGGGGAAACTCCACGGGAAAATACCGGGCCGGCGGACGGGCGCAACGAGAGGATCGCCCAGAGTTTTCTCAACCAGATAGCAGGCACTGGCCAGCCGCAACACCACGACGGGGCTTCGGGCGAGAGCGTGGTACTCCAGCAAAACGCAAGGTGGAAGCCGAGCCGAGAGTGGGACGCGAGCAAAGGCAACCTACAACCTTCACTGGCGCCCAATTCGGAGGACGAAGTCTGAGGCTGTTTTGGGGCCAAAATCAGCAAAATCGGCAAAATACCGGGTATTTTGCGGGTATACCTGACAAACCCCGAGGGTATCGTGCCGATTTCCTCAATTTTGCCTCAGATTTTGCCCCAGAATAGCTCTCAGACTCAGGGAAACTCGCGAGTTTCCCGAGGGAAACTCGAGAGAAACAGAATGGAGCACCAATGCAAACACCCCCTGCGCTCTGGTTTCCCTGGAAACTTCCGGAAACGCAAAGTGCTGGGGACCCTCTGGTTTCCCTCTGGGTTGCCGGAAACCCTTGCACAGGCCAAAGGCACACAAAGATTCGAAACCCGCATACACTGAAAAGATGGCGAAGAAAGAGGCAGACTCAGCTGCTCCCGGGACGAGGGAGGTGTGCTGTCGCAGAGCATCGTGTTCACGTTCACCAGCATTCCCCTATCCCCTTTCCCCATACACCCCACACAGACCCACCCGCCACCCCACCCATTATACATGGAAAAATTCTTTTCTGGCGATGTCCACCCCGCCGCGCCGCCGCTTGCGCCGCCTCGCCCCCGCCGCCACCGCCGCGGCCGCGCGAGACACGCCGCCGCCCGCCCGCCTCCTCGACCTCCCCACGGCGCTCCTCGAGCACGTCCTCTCTCGCTGCGACAGCCCCCTAGACATCGCTCGCGCCGCGGGCATCTCGCGCGTCTTTCACGCCTCGCTTGCGGAGGAGGCCATCCGCTTGTGGGCGCAAGAGCGCGGCTTCGAGCTGCCGGCGCAGCCAGAGGGCGAGGGCTGCGCCGTGCGGTGGCTGTGCTTTGCAGCGCTGCTGTGCGAGTCCAACCCGCCGGCGAGGGCGGCGGCAGGCCATCAGCACAGCGTTTTCATCGACGGCGAGGGGCGGCTATCGTCGTGCGGCTGCCCGCCGGGCTGGAACCCAGCCCTGCTCGGCCACGGCGAGGGCGTGTCGCGGCTCAACACGCCGACCCGCCTCCCGTCAACGCTGGGCGGCGAGCGCGCCGTGAGCGTGTCGGCTGGCGCTGCGCACAGCTTCGCCATCACCGCCGACGGCGCTGTCTGGAGCTGGGGCCGGGGATCCTTTGGCGAGCTGGGCCACGGCGACGAGCAGCACCAGTGGCAGCCAAAGAAGATCGAGGCCTTTGCTGGCCAGCGCGTCGTCGTTGTGTCGGCTGGAGTCGACCACAGCGTCGCCATCACCTCCGACGGAGCTGTCTGGAGCTGGGGCTTTGGAGACGTCGGCCGGTTGGGCCACGGCGACGAGCAGAACCAGCTGCTGCCAAAGAGGATCGAGGCCTTTGCTGGCCAGCGTGTCTTCGCTGTGTCGGCTGGAGGCAACCACAACCTCGCCCTCACCGCCGACGGCAGCGTCTGGAGCTGGGGTAGTGGAAGCTTTGGCCGGCTGGGCCACGGCGACCATCAGTGGCAGCCGCTGCCCAAGAAGATCGAGGCCTTTGCTGGGCGGCGCGTGATCGCTGTGCTGGCTGGAAGCAGCCACAGCCTCGCAATCACCACCGACGGCGCTGTCTGGAGCTGGGGTCATGGAGGCTACAGCCGGCTGGGCCACGGCGACCTGCAGAGCCAGCTGCTGCCCAGGAAGGTCGAGGCTTTTGCTGGCCAGCGCGTCGTCGCTGTGTCGGCTGGAGGTCTGCACAGCCTCGCCATCACCGCCGACGGTGCTGTCTGGAGCTGGGGCTTTGGAGGCTTTGGCCAGCTGGGCCACGGCGACACGCAGGGCCAGCTGCTGCCCAAGAAGATCGAGGCCTTTGCTCGCCAGCGCGTCGTCGCTGTGTCGGCTGGGAACAGCCACAGCATCGCCCGCACCGCCGACGGCGCCGTCTTCACCTGGGGTCAGGGCGGCCACGGCCGCCTAGGCCACGGAGAGGATGTGTCGAACCAGCTGCTGCCCAAGAAGGTCGAGGCGTGGGCGCCGGAGCGCTTGGGGGTATGAGGGCGCGGCTGGCAACAAAACGAATCGCGGGTCGGCTCTGTTCAGATGCCGCACCCGCTTCTTGCACTCCTCCTGCTGTACGCGTGCGCCGACCCCTTTGAGGCCGACCCGGAGTCGCGTGCGATATGGACTTGCTGCTGATGCTGATCGGTGCGCAGACGCGGTGCGAGATGAGAGCGGGATTGTTTGGCGCGTGGAACAATAAAAACGTCTGTCCTCCTCCCAGCCCTTGTTTCATGTTTGGGAATGGGATGTCCGCCCTCCGTTTTCTGTTTCTTTCTGGGGAAAAAGCCCGTTCAGAACTCGGCCGCCGCCCTCGGCTTCGAGCTCACCCTCGACCCTCGTGATCTCGCGCCCGGCGCTCCTCGGGTCGGCCGCCATTGCGGTCGGCACCACCACCTCCTCCCGCCCCCCCGCAGCCACTGCCGCGCGGCGCCAATGCAACCGACCCCCCCCTCCTTCCCCGACCCCGCCCTAAACGCCCCCGACAGCGAAGCCCGCGCCGCGCGCGGCACCACCACCGACTCTACCTCCGACCCCAGGGCCTAGGCGGCCCGCCATGAAATCTAGCCGTGTGTGCTGGCGTCCGGGTCCCAGCGGGTTTTCACGTAACAAGAACACACATCAACCTGCCTCCTGAAAGGGCGTAGACTATCTAGATACCGGGGGGACCCGGGGGGGGTGGTGGGGGGACGCTCCTGTGAGATAGAGCTGCTTCAGAATGAATTCCTAGGGCAAGCTGTCGTCACGGGGATGCTGTCGTCGATCGCTCTCCCGCTGATTGTGCTTTGCACAGGCTCCGATGCGAGCCAGGTGGGGGACGTGGAGGGCGTGGAGGCCACCCCACCTGCCCCGGAAGGGGCACGCTTCCGGCTGCGCCCGCTCCTCCTCGCCGTGCCGAATCCACACGCGAACCCACGCGACCGGCCGGGCACCTGGAACGGCCAATCGGGGCAGGACAGGACCGTCCATGCCCTGATGCCGTCAGATGGGATGGGCAATCGCCACCGATTCTTCATCGACTTGGCGGCGAACGAATGGCGAAGGAACTCCAACACGCGTGCGCTTGAGCGCGACTACAACTGGGAGGGCCTGTGCATCGAGGCTAACCCCTCGCTGCACGCGAGCCTCCTTTCTCAGAGAAACTGCACCGTCGTCGGAGCCGCCGTTGCGAGCACTGAGGAAATGGTGCGCTTCACCCCTCGAGGGGTGTATGGTGGAATCGTCGGTAAGGGCATGCGCAACTCCAAGGCGCACGATGAGGACGTGATTGAGATGAGGACAGTGCCGTTTTGGCGCATCCTCGAGCAGACAAAGGCACCGAAGACGATCGACTACATGTCGCTCGATGTTGAGGCGCGAGCTCCTCCACCCCCAGACCGCACCCTCAGGAGCCGCATCCTTGCCCTCACCCTTTCCCTTTGCCAATTTCAGGGGGCGGAGAGTCTCGTGATGGCCTCGTTCCCATGGGACGCGTACTCCATCTCCGTGCTCACCGTCGAAAATCCCAAGGAGGACCTCGTCCAGGCACTCGAGGCGCACGGCTACGTGTGGCAGTGCAACCACGGCCATTACGGCGACGAGATGTGGCTCTCGCGGAGGGCCCTCGAGTTCAAGCACGTCCAGCGGGCGCTTGCGCGGGGCATCCATAACTGCACTCACGACCCCAACAACGGCAAGCGGGTCCAGAGGAAGTGCGATTGCGTGCCGCCGCCGGAGCCCTAATCGCTAGCGATGTGGGTTGTGGCTCTTCAGGAAGAGGCGTAAGTAGTATACGCAGCTCACTGTGTCGTGGACTCGAACATACACTCATGGCCTGACGACGGTGCGCTCATGACGCTAGGGAGGGTGTAGAGGATGTAGAGTGTAGAGCGCTACGGGGGAAGGACCGTGAGTTGAGGAAACCCGGGGACGCGACCCACCTCGCCACAGCCGGTGGAGCCGGTCCCGCGCCCCGACCGAGACGGACGCGCTGGGCCGCTGCCGCTTCGCGACGCGTGGGCAATCTGGCTCTTCCTCGCTCACGTGATTGCGGTTGTGTGGGTTGGTTCACCTCATGAATTCTCGCCACCGGACACTCACCTCTCCTCCCGCTCAGGCCGCGGCTGGATCTCGGAAGCTCGCCTGACGGCGGCACTGACGGTCTCGCCCGCCCCTCCCGGCGCAGCCGCAGCAGCCGCCAGCGCGGAAACGTCGTTCGGATTTCTCCACCGCTGCATCCCCTCGTCGGCAGCGGTGCCCGCCGGCTCGCACGGCCCATCGTCGTCTGCGCAGCGCAGCGTCCACTTGAAGCCGAGCGAGAGCTCTCCGGAGAGGAGCACTGCGTGCGGGTGGTGGGCGGGCAGCACGAAGAGGTCGCCGTCCGCAATGGTGGCGTGCCAGCCGTGCGCGAGCGGCGAGAAGAAGGCGTGCACCAGGTTGTGCAGCAGGTTGGAGGCGCGCAGGTGCGGCAGCGCGGCGCCCTGCGGAAGGAGGCGCCAGGTCAGACGTCACCGACGGCGTGGTCGGGCGATGGTGGGCAGCCGTCGCAAGCAGGAGCTGGCACGGCATTCAGTGAGGGTGCAAGGCCCCATTCAAGGTGGGTGAGCGGACCTCGCCCTCCCCGGCGACGGCGGCACCGTAGAGCGGGCCGAGGGAGGGCGCGAGCAGCGGCGCGTCCTCGTGCGACACGGCCCAGACGTGCTTCTCGCCAGAGACCTGCAGCAAGTATGGCCGAAGTGTGGCCGAGGTGTGGCCGAGGTGTGGCCGAAGTGTGGCCGAAGTGTGGCCGAAGTGTGGCCGAAGTGTGGCCGAAGTGTGGCCGAAGTGTGGCCGAGGTGCGGCCGAGGTGCGGCCGAGGTGTGGCCGAGGTGCGGCCTCCCGCCGGAGACCTGCAAGAGCGCCGACGTGAGGCCGTGGTAGTCGTTGTGCAGCGGGTAGCCTAGGGTTCGGGTACCGTGAGGGTAGGGTATTGGTTGGGGTTCCGTGGGGGTAGGGGAGGCGTGCAGCGGATGGCCCATGCTGCCGTCGGTGCCGAGGTGGATGTACCCGCCTACGTGGCGAGTACCACACCTCCAGAGTATCGAACCCAGTGTGGGTTCAGTCCCGTGGGCGGTGCGGTAGCAACGCTGCGCCTACGTGGTGAGTGCGCCAACCTCGGGGCGGGATACGGCAAGTATCTCCCCATATCTCCCCATATCTCCCCATATCTCGGGGCGGGATACGGCAAGTCTCGTGCCGTGTGTTCAGAGCACCGCGCGAATACAAGAGGCAGCGGATACAGCCGACTACGGCCGAATAGTTCCGAGTGCGTGCCCTCTCGGAAGAGTTGCGTGCTCCGCTCCTACGTGCGTGCACGCCTCCGGTCCAGTCGAAGAGGGAGGGGGTCCCCAGCAGCGAAGAGAGCTCCCCCTCCCACGCGGGGCAGAAGGCCGCGATCGCGTTGTCGTAGAGGTAGGGCGACGCGGTCATCGTCTCGAGGAGGAGGCCTAGCGGCCGGTAGAGCCACGGGCGCAGCAGCCAGCGGTAGGGCGTGGAGCGCTGCAGCGAGGCGGACGGGCGGAGGAGGTGGAGGATGAGAGACAGCCGAGAGACAGCCGAGAGACAGCCGAGAGACAGCCGAGAGACAGCCGAGAGAGGGCAGAGAGGCGCCTGCAGCGAGGCGGACGGGCGGAGAAGGTCGAGGAAGGAATGGAGCTCGTGCACGTGCGCCTGCTCCTCCTCGTACTCGTCCACCGACCGGTACCCCGCGAGCCGCAGAGGCGACGAGAGGAGCGAGAGCGCCCAGCGCGCCGCCCACGGGCAAGAGCGGAAGAAGGTTCGCTCCGCCGGCGATCCTAGCCGGAACCGCGAGCGGCCGCACCTCGCCCTCAGCCTCCCCGCCCAGTCGATGTCGGCGGGCAAGCGCGCTGCGCCGCGCACCACGAAGGGTGTGCCGTTGCGGAGCCGCGCGCCGAAGGCGGCACGGGAGAGGCTCGAGGCGGCCACCTCTTCCGCCGGGAGCAGCGACGGCGAGCGGTCGAAGAGGAGCCTCCGCACTACGCTGCACCACGACCTCTCCCCCGCCCGGACAGAGGCGGCGACGGCGCCGAGGGCGGCGGCGGACGAGCTCCCCACCAACACGCCCGGCGCCGCCGCCAGCAGTAGCCACGCCAGGCTCGAGCCGCAACGCGGCCACGCCGGCCGCGGCTCCGCGCCGCTGAGCGGCTCCGCGCCGTTGAGGGACGGGCGTCGAGTCAATCGGAGCGCCTTCCCGCAGAGCACGAGCGCCGCCAGCGTGACGCCGAGCGTGAGCGCGAGGGCCGGACCGGCCGCGCCCGGTGAGGCCTCGTACCGCGCCGTCAGCCACGGACCCGGACCTGCCGGGCGGGTGGCGTTTGCGCTAGCCACGGCGGCAACGCGCAGCTGCTGCTGGCCTCGCAGTGCGACGGCGGGCACACGCAGGACGCTGCACGCCGTGGTCGTGCCTCCCTGCACCTCGGCGTTGCCGGAGCAGCCGATCAGGCGGAGGGCGTCACACTGACCGCTCACGGCATACAGGTCAGCACCGACGCCGTCCGGATCGCAGCCACGGAGGAGGAGGTCTGCCGATGCGTCGTCCCGAGGTGGAAGCAGGTACCAGAGCGTCTTGCCGGCGGGCGGGGCGCCACAACGGCCGCCGGCCAGCCGCTCGAGCGTCTCACGCGACTCCGGGTTGGGCATCACCTTGCTGAAGTTGAGCTGGACTCCATACTCGGCGTAGCTGAGCGCAGTGTCGGCGGCGCTGAGACGAAAGAAGGCGCCCGCGCTCGGGCAGTTGCCCATATACGTGCAATATATGTGTGTACATGAATTTGCGGCAGCTGCTCAGACCACGCCCAAGCCGACGGCTGAGGCCGAAATCGGTTCACACCTGCTCTTGCAGGTGTGAACACAAAGGATTCGCTGTATCTACTCAGCTGCTCCGCTTACACTTACCTGTGAGGTGTGTGAACGATATCGGTGTCGAAACACCAGCCCGACGCTCACTAGAGCTCAAACGGGGTAGCGCAGCTGTGAGCGCTTTGAGCCATCCCCGTTTATTCCCCTGGTGTGGTTCTCGAGGTTCTCGAGGTGGATATCCTTTGGCCGTAGCGAGGATTGGTGTGACGCGATCCACGCAGGCGTGTTTTCTGGCGGCCGACCGTCAGTGCACGGAGTTGCCCCTTCTCCGACTGCCCCGGCTAGTTCACGAGTTTCGCGGGAGTGACCCCATGCGTCAAACCCGAGACCTAGCGCGGGTGGATTGGAGGGGGCTCGCCCCGTTCCTCCCCATCGGGCCGCATAAGCGGCCACGCACGCCTCGCAGATTCGTTTCTCGCGCCTGGGTCAGGCGCGCGGGGCATCCCCCGGGTCGCTCGACCAGCGATCCGAAGAGTGGCCGCTATGCGAAGGAAAGAGTGGGGCCCTCCCCGGGGTACGGCCCCCTCCGGGGGGAAGGGAATTGCGGGGTCCCCTCGGGCGCCTCAGTTCGGCCCTCCCGAGGGGGGGAGGGGAGCAAGGGGGTGGGGGGATTGGGGTGGTGGGGAGGGGTCTCGGATTTCATGTGGCTAAGACTTGCCTTTCGGGGAGGGGCCTCCGGCCGTGCGAGGCTAGCTCAGCTCGACATCTTCCCCTCCTCCCTCGAGGCAGCGAGTAGGCAGCGAGAGGAGGTCTCGAGCGCCTATATGAAGGTATGTGAGATGGTGATGGGAATGGGTGGTCGGGCGGGCGGGCGGACGGGCGGGCAAGCGGGGAGAGGCGGGCGGGCGGGGCGGGGCGGGCGGGCGGGGTGATCGGAGAAGTCGTATCCACAATCCGCAGCAGCGGAGCAGTCGCAGCAGCAGCAGCTGCTGCAGCAGCAAGATGCAACCTGCCGCAGATTGCTGCCGTTGTCTGCGCCGCGATCCGCCGCCGCGCCGCCGCGCCGCCGCCGCCTGCGCTCGCCGCCGCCTCGTAGACGACTCCTCTCGCGCTTGGAGAGCCGCGCAGCGGGCCGCGAGGTTGTGGGGTCAGAGAGCAGCAGGGTTGTGAGATCACAAAATTGGCCAATTTTGAGGTTGCTCGAGAGAGCCTGGAAATGGTCCCGCGCCGTAGCCCCGGTGCCGGCGCATCACACCTCAGCCTCGCGAGGGGCGAGGCGGTCATCAGTGAGGCTGCGTAAGACCGCGAACCGTGTGCATGTTCGTTGCCCGTACTACCGCGGTTTACCGCGTTCACAGCCTCTTGGAAAAAAGTAAAAAAACAACAAAAAATCGCCTTTGGATTTGGATTTGCATAGTACTAGATCGTGCTCACACGCCGGTCATCTTGCGGACAAAGACGATGAAGTGGATGACGGCGTACGAGGCGATCCAGTAGCAGCAGACGCCGAGCGTGCCCGACGTGAGAGCATGCATCTGCGTGCCACGCTTGGGCTCGCCCTCGCCATCGAAGATGTTGTTGGGGCCAGGCATGCCCATGAGGAAATGGGGGACGGGTCCCAGGCAGCACAGGTAGACGAATATCCACGATTGGGCGGCCCAGGAGAGGAGCCGGACAGCAGGGCTGGCGTCGTCATTCACGATGGCGCAGACCAGCGCGACCGGCAAGCAAACGCAAAGACTCGTCATGGCGTCCACGTTGCCGCCGCGGGTGCGTGCTACCTTCCAGCCAAAGAAGGGGTAGGTGTACGTGTATGGCTCGGGGGCCTTTTGGATCGGCCAGAGGAGCCAATAGGAGATGCCCTTGACCCCGTAAGCGGCGTGCATCTGGACGATGCTCTCGAACATCAGTCTCACCGCCGACCATGCAGTGAGCACCCAGATGGGCGCGTTCATCGCAAACTCTTTGCCAAAGGCAGCGAAGAAGGGAGCGGCGCAGATACCGAATGCGGGCGGGAAGGCGACGAGGAAGAAGGGGAGGCCGGCAACTGTCGGAAATAAGGGAAACAGCAGGTTGGTCGCTACCCACGAGTACGTCATCGTCACGAGCTGCGTGGCAACGTAGGTGGACGGCGAGTACGAGGGGGCGTACCTAGTCACCATGAACGTCTGCACGGCGAGCAGGGTCGCGTTCATCGCCCAGCCCCACAGCACCGGAGCCCAAGGCCGCGACTCGGCAACCTCGGCCTTCCACGAGTCCTCCGCCGCCGGGGCGGGCGCGGCCGCTTTCGACGACGTGCCGCGCGACTTGAAGATGTAAATGGCGATGCCGCCCGCCACGAGGCTCGCGCCGGCCTTGATTGACGAAGAGTCTATCATGTGAAGAGCCCGCGCCGGCTGTACCCCTCCAAAAAGAATTAAACCCCTGACACAGTAGTGGGCACGGACTGGCGCGCACTGGCACTGGCAGTTGTGAGATATGTAACGATCTTCCATGTTGCCGACGCGGCGCCGGAGTGGCCGGCGCTGCTCGCCGCGACCACGACGGCTACTCCGATGCTCCGGGCCGACCCGTCCTACCCGACGGTGGCACTCTTCCACGTCTCGCTCACGCTGAGAAAAATTCTGAAACGGCGTGCAGCATAGTCGCCGACGAGTCGGTCCGCGTGCCTCCTCGTGTCGCGCATCGTTCTCACCCATCCATAAACTCACTTTGGCCTCACTAAAGCGAAGTCTGAACCCTTAATCCTCAGATTTTAGATTAGGACGCTGTGGACCCTCTACCCTACGAGGAGCTACTTTCGGTGCGTGTCCGGTGAGACCCGACTTCGCCAAGACTTCGGAAACTCACTCCCATTTTTTCTCATATCTCAGCTACAGAATTCACACAGAGCGAGAGGAGACTCACAGGAGACTCAGGTACTCTCCAACGCTATCGATTTCCCTCAACCGTTCTCGGGTCGGCCGCCCCCGCCGTCGACCCACGGTCTCCGGGTCGACCGACCGTGTCGCCAAACTGCTCGCGGTACTGCTGCGGCGGCAGCTTGAGCAGGACAGAGAGGGAACGCGCCGCGCCGCCCGCGTCGCGCGGCGGCACCTGTTCGCCGAGCCTCACCGAGATTCGCCGAGGTTCACCGAGATTCGGCCCGCATCGCTCGCGGCAGCACCTCGCTCAGCCGGCCGATCCGCTCGAGCGAGCAAGTCAGGGTGCGGGCGAGGGTGCCGGTGCCGCCGCCCGCGGCGAGCTGCGCCCACTCGGCCTCGGTCGTGAGCGCTCGCAGCCGCGACAGCTTGGGCGCGAGCGCCGCCGCCGGCGAGGTGAGCCTAACGGTGTGGAACATGAGGGCGGTCATGAACATGAGGGCGGGAAGACGGTATTGTGCAGAGTGTGCAGAGAAGGGCGTGAATGCGAGGAGTACGAATGCGGCGGATAGAGCGGAAGGCGGTCGAGTGCAGCGGCGTGCCTGTCCTCTCGAGCGCTGGCTGGAAGGCAAGAGCACGTCTTCCGCTTCTAGGGCGCGAGATATGGTGGAGATACGGGGAGATAGGGGGAGATCTTCCGCTTCTAGGGCCGTGGGCAGCAGCAGGGTCGGCTGGTGCCGGACGAGCCTACGTGCTGAATACGCCGACATGAGGGCGGGAAGACGGTCTTGTGCAGCGAATTCAGAGCACCGCGTGAATACGAGGGGAGGCGAGGACAGTGAATTCAGCGGAATACGGCCGAATACGGCCGAAGACGTGTCCTCTCGAGCGCTAGTTGGGAGACATGAATGCGTATTCCGCTTCTAGGCGGACGAGATCTGGGGAGATCTGGGGAGATCTGGGGAGATCTGGGGAGATCTGGGGAGATCTGGGGAGATATGGGGAGGTGTGGGGAGGTATTCCGCTTCTAGGTGAGCGAGCTGCAGCGCGTCGAGGCCGAGCGGCTCAAGCAAGTCGCGCAGCGCGGCGAGCGTGCGCTGCACGCGCGCGGGAGAGCGCGAGAGCAGCCGCGGCGCACGGCGGAGCACCAGGCCGACCTCGACGCCGCCGCCCAGCGCCGCGCTCAGCGCCGCGCAGCGTGCGGCCACGTGCGTGTGGTCGAGCGAGAGCATGCCGGGCTCGTGCGACACGAGGCGGAGGGCCGGCAGGTCCGTCGCGGCCTGCAGCGCCTCCACTCTCGCCGCGAGGTCCATCTCGCGGCTCAGCAGCAGCCGGCCGTGCCGACGCAAGACACCCGCCACACCCTCCTCCGGCAGCAGGTGAAGAAGCGTCTCGAGCTGGCGCAACGCGAGACAGGTGCCGCCGTCGGCGGACGGCGCGGTCGCCGCGAGCACCGCGGGCGTCGCGAGCAGCCGCGTGACGGACGCGCCTGCCACGCCGAGGCTGCACAGCCGCTCGCGGAGCGTGGCAGCATTGGCGCGCTGCTGCGCGGCACGGCGGGCTCGGAGCTCTTTGGGTGAGACACCGTTGACGACGATGAGCTCGGTCTGGTCGTCGCGCGACGTCTGCAGCTCGCCGGGCTTAGGCACCCACAGCCTCCGCCCGAGCCACATTCGGCGCGTCGGACGAGGCGAGCGACGAGAGTCGTCCGCCGTGACGGCCTCGCCGACAGGAAGCTCGCCATCGTCGAGCGCCTCGCCGACCGGGAGCGCGCCGCCGTCGGCGCCGAAAAGACGCTCGCCCTCAGCGTCGTCAGCGGGCGCGGCGGCCAGCACAAGGCGCGAGCGCGGCACGAGGAAGTGGCGAGAGGAGGACGCGAGGAGGACTGTATAGCAGGCAGCCATGCAAAAACTGTGCGGGCAGAAGTGTGAACAGGTCGGCCATCCTGGTCGGCCACTCTCCTGGTCGGCCACTCTCCTGGTCACCATCGTCGCGTACGGCCTCGTGTACGCCATCGTCTCCGTGCCCCTCACCAACTTCGTGGGAGCGGCAGATGCTGCAGTTCACGGACATCGGTCCGGACCGGCGTGACCACCGAGGGGTGGCTTGCACAAGGTCTGAGCCGCGGGCGCTCGGCGCCAAGTGCAGTGTCACGCTCGCGCTGGAGCGGGACACAATGGGAAACCCTCGTTTCCTATGGACTCGGTCCCCCAACGGAAGAGGCCTCGCTCCTATTGGAACACTCCAACATCAGATTTGCCTCGTGCGTCCCTAAATAAATAAATAAAGGATAAATTTCAGATTACCCGGTTTTTGAGATTCGCCTCGCAGATTACCCGACGAACGATATTTTCCTGCTTAGCGCGATTTCCGTCAAACCAGTTTACCCAGTCTCCCACAATTCGTGTTTCAGCTTACCCGGTCGCTAAAATTTGTCATGTCAGATTACCCGGTCGGCCAAATTTCTCGTCCAGATTACCCGGCAACGATATTTTCCTGCTCAGCAGCAATTTCATCAAAAAACTGAGAACTAGTTTACCCAGTCTCCCACAATTCACGTTTCAGCTTACCCGGCCGCTAACTTTTCTCATGTCAGATTACCCGGTCGGCCAAAATTTCTCGTCCAGATTACCCGGCGGCTAACTTTTCTCTTTGAGATTACCCGGGCGCGCAAATTTCTCGTTTCAGCTTACCCGGACGCGAGCGTGCACCTCGATCCTCGTCCAGAGAGCGAGCACCTGCGGCACTTGGTCCTAAGGGGTCCCGTACCATGCGGAATCGACCCTATCCGGTGCTCAAGTGCTCAAGGAGAGCTCCCACTCGGAATCCCCGGCCTCGTTTGCTTGAATGACGCAGTCGTGAATCCCAAACGGTTTCAGATTACCCGGCGCATCCCACTACCCCGGGTGATCTGGAAAAAGAAATTATGTCGCGGATGATGGACGTCCCGTCCGTCCCGCCCGGCGACCTGGCGTACGCCCAGCTGCGCCTGCTCCTCTGCGCCGACGTGTCGTCGGCAGAACGCGCCACGTTGCTCCGCTGGCGGGCGGAGCGCGGGATGAACCAGCCGGAGGACGCGATGCACCGCCTCGGGGAGGACCTCCGGGACGAGGCGCGAGTCAAGGAGCTCGCCGAGAAGTGGCGGCCCCGCCTCGCGGCGGCGCGCTACAAGAAGCAGCCCGCAGGCACGGGCCTGCGCACCGAGCACCTCAAGCCCTTCTTTGAGGAGCTCGAGGGCGGCTTCGTCGTGCTGTTCGAGGCGATCGAGCGCTTTGCCATCCCCGACTGCATCACGCGCATCGCGGCGACGGTGCTCTCGACCCAGCTGCTCAAACGCCTCGATGACGGGACGCCGTCGATGCTCGCCGGCACGCGACCCATCGGCATGGGCGAGGCCCTCTTCAAGGAGGCGTGGCGCGCAACCTGGTTTGTGGACCTCCCGCACCTGTCCTGACAGTCCTGACAGAGTCCTGACAGAGTCCTGACAGAGTCCTGACAGAGTCCTGACAGAGTCCTGGCGGGGTCCTGACGGCGCACGGTCTTCACAGTGCTCACAAGTGCCTCCGACGAGACCTCCACCTTCCTTCACTGCAACCCTCCTTCCCCTCCCCCCCAGCAGTGAATGATAGACGCCCAGCCCCCCTTTCGACCGTGCGCGCCCTCTGCGGAATCGTCCTGATGGGGCAGTCCTGACGCAAACTTGAGAGTCCTGACAAGCAAACTTGAGAGTCCTGACAAGCAAACTTGAGAGTGCTGACAGAAACTTGAGAGTCCTGACAGAAACTTAGAGTCCGGACAGACAAAAGAAATCACGCTCACTCTCGCGCCACTCGGCTCGACCATGAAAGCGCACAAGCAAGAGAGGCGCGGCCATGGTGCAGGCAACGTTACAGCCGGCAACGTGCAAGAAGGCAGCAAAGCTCGGCCACGACGTCCATGGCCCGCGCCCCCCCGATTTGCCACCGGCGGCCTGCAGGCCAGCGCCGAGCAGCGGACCGACTGCTGACCGACTGCTGACCGACTGCTGACCGAGGCAGCGCCCACGGCAGCGCCCACAGCAGCGCCCACGGCAGCACCCACGGCAGCACCCACGACAGCGCCCACGGCAGCGCACACGGCTTGGCTGGCCATGTCAGCCGCGCAGGGACCCTCCCGCGGGTCCAACCCGAAGCGCTCGACCGCTCGACGGCGCAAGTCGGCTGACGGAGCGAGCCGCATAGCCCTCCAGTGCTCACCGCAGGATCAGGCCCGACCGGCCCACGCTCACGGCCTGGCCTGCCTGTGGACCAGCAAACTCGTTGGCTGTACGCGAGCAAAGAGCTGCGTGGCTGGGTTGTGAGCATACCGTCCCCGTTGCGCCCTTTCCCTCAGTGGAGGGCCGTCCCTGCCCTCGGGAGTAACTCGACTGTACACCCCTCCCTACTCTCTAGCTAAGGGCTCTGTTCACAGCGGGGGGGCAGTGGTTGTCCTGGCGGAGTCCTGGCGGAGTCCTGACAGAGTCCTGACAGAGTCCTGACGGAGTCCTGACAGAGTCCTGACGGCCTATTTTGGAGGTTTTCAACTTTGAGGTATTGTTACTATGTGAGGGTGAAATGAATGAATCAGTTCTTTGGGACAGTGCAATCCTTTTAATTATTACCTCCAACTCAAAAAAAGTCTGATGTCAAACGGACAACGGGGTCCCTTATGGTGGCCTGTAAGGGTAAGGTGCGGGAGGTCCACAAACCAGGTTGCGCGCGCGCGAGCTGGGCGGCGAAGACCATCGGCCCCGTGCTCCTCTGCTTCGGTCAGATGGCCGTCGGCCTACCCAGCGGCGGCGAGGGCGTCGCCACGGCGCTGCAGCTGTACTGCGACTCACCTACGCTCGATAGCCGCGCCATCATCATCGCCCTAGACTACTCCAACGCCTACTCGACGAGCCTGCTCGACTCGTCGGCGCGAGCGACCCTGCAGCTGATCGAGTGGGTCAAGCAGCTCGACGACGCGACGCGGGCGCGGCTCGCCATCAAGGACGCAGACGAGGTGGTCCGGGCGGCGGAGGCAGCGCTTGACGACCTCAGCGCTGCTCGACGTTGATGCATCGAGCGTCGAGCGCACCCCCAAGGACCACTCCGACACCGCTCAGGGCCGTCGCATGCACGAAGAGCTTCTGCAGCGGATGGATGCGCTCGAGGCTCGGAATGCCGCACTCGAGGCTCGGAATGCCGCACTCGAGGCGCGGGTTGCAGTCGACGCCGGCGGCCCTGGCAACACTCGCTCAATGGGGCTCTGGCCGGTTGACGCTCAGCGCCGCCGCCTCTCAGAGACGACGACATGCTGTGCCGCAATCGACGGGTGTGGCACGCCCTCGTGGGGCACATCTCTCGAGTCTCGAGTCTCCAGTCTCGAGGCCAGCGGTGACGGTGACATCATTTTCGAGGTGGCCGCGGCTTTGTCGGGCAAAATCGACTTCTCGCCCGGCAATATTGACTTTGCCTGTACGCAACTCGCCGGCGTGGGCACCATCTTGAAGCGTATGGACATTTGGGGCACCGGTGTGTCCGCGACGGCGTTCAACGAGTGTGTGAAGGACATTGTCGAGATCGGGGAACAGCTCTATCTGCAAAGGGTCAGCTGGGACCCAAGCGACGGTGATGTGGTGTTTGCGTCGCTAAAACGCGCCAGCAGGATCTACGCGGACGTCACCAGCCCCGGAAGCAGCATGACTTCACTCAGCTTTCCTGCGCTGGAGACCATCACTGGAAGCACTTTTCAGGTACAGAGGCAAAACCTGATGAGATCGTTGAGCATGCCGAACCTGAAATCTTTGTATACGGTCTCTATTAAAGACAATGCCGTTCTCGAGGAGCTTGACTTCAGCAGCCTTGTGCAAATGGAATCCACGGCCTCTTTCACAAACTTGCCCTCGCTTCAGAACGACAAGGTCAAGTTCTCCTCGAACTTCCAAAAGGGTTGTGGAGCGACCACATTCTCAGGAGTCGGGACCGTCAGCTGTTCTGGCAACGCGGGTCTGCAGGCTATTTACGATGCCTGCACCGGTGCCAACAAGTGCACGTTCCCGTGGAATTCTAATGTCCGCTGCACCGCCTCCTTCTCCGTCACCCCCGCTTGCTCGTGAGCAATGCCCCAGCCAGGGTCCTCCCCACCCGATTCCAGGGTGCAGGCAGGGAGAGCATGCTGAGATGGACGGGGCGGCGACCGGCACAGTCATTGGGCGAGCCGCCACAGAAAGAAATCCCCGTGTGATGCACGCCCTGCGAGCGGGGCGGGGTGCGCGCTGTGCCTCTGTGGTTCGTTATTGCGCCCCCCGGCCCGACGAGTAGGCATACAAAGATTCGTTTTTCTTCAGGCGATTTGATTGATTGATGGCGACTCGAAAGTCGGATTAGAACGCTCTGTCAACCTCTCACAGACCAGCGCACAGCGCCATACGAGGTATTTTCTTTTCAATGACAAGGCTGTGAAAGCCATCGAGGAGGCCAGGGTTCCGGCTCCTACCCAGATAGGGGGTCTGTCCACACTGAGTCGCGCCAAAACGCCCTACCTACCTACCTATTGCGGGCGCCAACCGCCAGGCTCCGACCTACCTACCTATTGCGGGGCCGCGCAGCGAAGCGAAAAATACCCGTTTAGCCCTTCTGTGAATAGGCTCCGCGGGCGCCGCCGCCGCACCCGTCTCGGCTGGCGTCCCAGCCGCAGGCGACTCGTCTGGCATGGCCCGTTCGCGGCTAGCCGTCTCCCGCGCGAGCGAAGCGGTTTTTTAAACCCCTCCCCCCAACACCCCCACCCCCACCCCAGTGAGTGAGTGAGTGAGTATTCTTGATACGAAACCACGACGACACACACCAGTCGACTCGCATCGGTTGCCTCCATGAACGGCGGAGCTATTCTCGCGCCCACACCACACCTGGCTCCAACGTGGACACGCCCATAGCTGGGGACACTACTAGGGGCGCTGGAAGCAACACAGAGCTCCGTTGGAGACGTTTTCAAGATTAGCGTGTCAGCGAGAGTGAAAAATGGCACGCTAGCCGTCATGTTCGATTGCCATTGTGCCCACAATCTGCGTCCATGCCACAAGTGCCACCAGTAAAAACCAATATATCACGGTTCAGGCGGGAGCACGCTGCGCACACCGCGGGGCGACGTAGACTGGCGCATACTTCACGCCGGGCACATATTCTGTCTCTAGGATGCTCTTACACATCCGAGAGTGCTAGCAGCTCCAGCCGGTGCCTCGCTGCACCGCCTCGGAGAAGGGCGAGGCGTACCTCCGCGGGTCGAAGCAGAGCACGGGCGGCCCCGCGGCGCCGTACCGGCCTGCGGCCCTCGAGAACTGGCGGCACGGGGCACGAGACATGAGATGTGAGATGAGGCAAGCAGAGGGGGGGAGCTGCGTGGAAGGCACGTGTGTCGGGGAGGTGTGAGAAGAGAGCAGCGCGCCTGGCCGGCGGGGCCGTGGGAGTTCCAGGGCGTCACGAAGAAGGCGAGGATGGAGGCGGGCGCCGCGGCCGAGAATGCGATGCCGTCGACGATCACCTTTTGCGGAGGTGCAAGGCGGGGGAGGGGGCGGAGGGAGGTCAGAGGAGGGGCGCTCCCGCAACACTGATCAGCCTCTCGGGCGATCAACACCGGATCCCGGCACCGCCACACGGCCGCACTTCGCGGCGGCTGGCATCTCGAGGACATCTCGAGGACATCTCGAGGACATCTCGAGGGCATCTCGAGGGCATCTCGAGGGCATCTCGAGGCGGGGCGCGTGGGCACCTCGTTGTAGTTCCAGCCGTTCTGCGGCTCCTTCCAGCTCTCGAGCATGCGCTCGAGCTGGTCCGCGGCGAAGGCGTGCCCGCGCGCCACCGCGGTCTCGCACACCTCCTTTGCGCCGCCGGCGCTGCTGCTCCACCCCTTTGGGGGGAGGGGGGGGGGGCGGGTCTCACCACACAAGGGTGTGTGCTGCATGCGACGCGGATGGGTGCGAGAGGGGGTGGGGCGCCTGCGAGGCGGTGTCGTGGGGGAAGGCGCACAGCAGTCGCGTGGCGTCCGGGTGCAGCGCCTGCGAGTCAGCCATGGAGTCGACAGGGCGGGCGAGTGAAGAGTGGTGGTAGGCCGGCGGCACGGTGTGTGCTCGGTGGCCGGCCGAGGCGGTGGGTGGAGATAACACAGTTGCTCACTACTATACTGCTGCTGCTGCTGCTGCTGCTGCTGCTACTACTACTACTACTACCACTGCTTAGTACCATGCCCGGCCAGTCGACGCGGTAGGTTGAGACACAACCGCCATGGCCCGGCCCGTGCCTAGGAAGTGTCCAGGAAGTGTCCAGGAAGTGTCTAGGCGACACTACAGCCGCCGTGGCCCGTGCCGGTTCGAGCCGGGGACGAGCCCCTCGCAGCGGCTGTAGTCGCGCCGCGGCGTGCTCCTACTGACGGGAGAGCTCGAATTAATTAACGATGAATGGACTGTGAATGAACTGTTAACTACCGATTACTTATGCTCCTGCTGACGAGAGAGGCCGGCAGCCGGTTGCCTGTGTCCACGGCGGGGGGCGATGTGGAGACGCGCCTCCACGGGCCAGACAGCATTTAAAGGGGCGAGTGCGCGGGTCGCCAAAGCGGAGGAGGTCCCCCCTCCCCGTCGCCTCGGGCTCAAGGTTGTGGATGAGCACCTGCGAGCGGGCGGTAGGCGGCTACAGGCAGACGCGCGCTGCTAGGTATAGGTGGGATATAGTGCTCAGTAGGCGGGGCGGAAGGCAGGGCGGTAGGCAGGGCGGTGGCAAGCTGGCGCACCCCGGGCAGAAGGGCGTTGTTGTGCAGCCTCAGCCGGGCGGTGGAGGCGAGGTCGAACCACGCGTTGGCCAGCCTCGCGCACTCTCGCGCTTGGGCAGGCACTGCTGCAGCAGCCATCACGGGCGGCGGCGTGGCCATCTTTCCGTACGACGCCTGCTGTCCGGACTTCACGTAGCATGCAGCTCCCGACACGGGCGCGGCGAAGGCGATACGGTCCGTGTGCAGCTCGCACTTGCTCGTGCCGGTCCGAGCAAGGTACTGAGCGAACTCGAATGCACGGCAGTGCGGATCCGGCTTGCATGCCGCCTCGCACTGTGGCAGCGCAAGGCCCCACCGCTCGCTGTATGTTCCGGTCCCGCCGCCGGGAGTTCTGCACGCACCGGGAGGATGCAGTGCGACGAAAGAGCGAAGATCGGTCATACTGTGTCCGACGAGCGGGGGAGGGGGGGGGCGGCCCAGGGCCGGCATAAAAAGAATTTCTTTCGCCAAAAGTGGCCCAGAGGGCTTTAAAAATGTGAAAAAACAACGAGACCGACAGTGCGTAGTGCGGTGTGTGCTAGCGTAGCATCCGCGACGTCGACGTCGACACGAAGCCTCGCCCTATTGAACGGCTCCTTCCCGCGGCTCGTCTCGACCTCGCTGTCGTCGTTGAGCCAAGTGTGCAGGCAGCGATACGGTTTGCGCTCCCTTTCTCGTTTTCTCTCACTCTCTACCCGTCATTAAATTTCTGGCGAGCACATGAACGGGAAAGGGCGTAAGCGCGTAAGGTGCGCCGTACGGGCGACACCTCGTCAACGGGTGGATCGGACTGGACCGCAATGTTCCGCGTAAAAGATGTGTATGTAAAAAGAGTGTGCAGTCTTCCGGGAACATTCACAGCAGCATCCCGAAACGAAAGTAAGACTCATTTGGGACTTGCGACGACCTCGCTGTCGGAGAGCAGGCCTCCTTGCAGTGATCTATGAACACATCTTGGGACCCTTCCCACTCAGCTGCCACAATGTATGCGACTCCTGGGCCTTTCAGAACCTGCGACAAGGAACCAGCCAACGCGAGGGAAGTGTCCGGCTCATACAGAAGACAGGAGCCCAGAACGACGTCCGGTTCGCGGAAGTCAACCGGGAGCTGCCGACCAAGATCGTCCCATGCACAAGCCAACGTTGAGACCCGGTCATCGACGCCGTTTCGGGCCGCTGTTGCAGTCACCTCCCGTAGCGACACTTCAAGCTGATCCTGAATGAGCACTTGCCTTGCTCCAACTGTTGCTGCCGTGACGCCAGGAAGCCCAAGCCCAGCCCCGAGCTCCAATACCGTCTTGTCTTCCAGCGCGATTGATTCTTGGGCCAGCCACCGTGCCAGGGCAATGGCAGGACTCCACAGAAAGTCGCCGTATTCTTCCCAATACCACGTATTGTCCGCGATCCGGTTGTGCTGCGCCAGCTGGAGCCCTGCGTGCTTTGTGAGCTCGACGTGGGTCCATGATCTGACCAGCTCGTCTCCAGCCAACTCGCCTGCGTCTCCAGCCTCGTCGTGTCCTGCGTCACCAAGTTCAGCCCTGAGCTGCTTCAGCTCGGCTTCAAGCTTTGCCACCTCCCCTTTCACCTCTTCCAACAGCTCCTCGGGCATGTCGCCGTCACCCAGCATGGCGCGCATCAGCTTTACCTCGTCGAGTTGCTGCTGGTACATAGCATACAACTCGTCGAGCATCGCCTTCTCCTCCTCTGTGCTTGCGTCGCCATCCTTGCTACGGTGAGATGCGCGGCGAGTCGTTACCGTCAAAGGAGCCCCGATCGTACGGGGCAGCACCTGCTGGCTGCGGCTGAGGCTGGATGCGCGCAGCAGAGAGCCGCGCCGGCGGAGGCTCCACACGCAGCCGGCAGCGCGCCGGGCTGTGAAAGTCACCATATGTCGCAGTCACTGACGTCGTCGCACGACAGGCGTGTGCGCAGAATGCTGTGAGCTACACAGACGGCGGCGGTGCGCAGGCCAAGCTGGCTTTCTCGAGGTGATCGAGGTGGATACAAGTCCGCGCACTTAATGATTTTCGGCCGGCCGCAGGTCGGGCTGGACGCGGCTGTTTCGGCCGGCGGTCGGGGTCGGACACCAGCTTTGTCGGCGCGTCAGCGCCGAAGAAAATTTTGGGCGATTTTCTTGTACTCTTTGTTTAAATTCGTGTACTCCCGTCACTTCCAGCTCACCCTTAGGATTCGAATCTCGAACTTCTATTTACTCCTTGGAGGTTCCCTCAGGCCCGCCGCCGCGCTCGCTGGACAGCGGCCGTGACTCACCTGCTTCGGGCGCGCTGCTCCTCGGGGATGGCGAGAAGCGGCAGAGATGATGCTCATAGATGAGCTAGCCCCAGATGCCCCGTTTGCCCCACTGCGGCGCCGCGCTCGTGCCGGCGTGCGAGTGGGTACAATGCACCCCCTCTGCCGCTCGCGGCCCGGAACGCATCGGGAGATATTCATTCGTATACGTCAAGACGTGCTCAGATGGCACGTAGTAGAGTGACTGAGCGCGTGGCCACTCTCCACCCTCGATTGCGGGTGCGGCCGCGGCCGCAGTGGTGTAGGCGGACAGTAATGATGCCGCGCGGGCGGAGTGGCGGACACGAGGACGCTGCCGTCGGACGAGGGGTTGCTATCATACGCAAGCACGAGCCGTCGGTGACGCGACGGCGTCATCACCGTTGGCCAGCATAGAAGCGCGAAAACCTGCCCGTGTGTCGGATGCGTCCCCAAAAACTTGTAGCGCTACATCTTTGGACACACACCGGCGGGCGCTTTCGAGGCGACCGGCAGCATTTTTTCTAGCCACATGGACCTTTTTGCGGCACGATAGCTGGGCTGCAACATACGTGTACCTACACTCGACTACAGCTACGACTGCAACGGCGCGCAGCGCCGAAGAAAATTTTGGCGCTTCTCGAGCGGCGGCCGGTGTGGACGCCGTTGTTTCGCAGCTCGGTCGGGGGGGGGCGCCCCTGCGTTTCCCTGCGGTCGGTCGAAAATCATTAAGTGCGCGGACTTGTATCCTTTGGCCGCGTTGGGTAGCTGGCTTTCACAGTTGTTGAGAAAGAAAATACCTCCCTCCTCGGGCTCTGTGCGCTGGTCTGTGAGAGCGAACTTTGTATCGGCCTACGGGCCGGGGGCGCAATAACGAACCACAGAGGCACAGCGCGCACCCCGCCCCGCTAATAATAATAATAATAATAGAGCAGTCATCTCCCGTAGAGATGGGCAACGCCCCGCTCGCAGGGCGTGCATCACACGGGGATTTCTTTCTGTGGCGGCTCGCCCAATGACTGTGCCGGTCAGACCTCCCCCTCTCATATGAGAAACCTCGGGGAAATCATTGGACCAACTCATCTCCGCAATCTCGCCCGGGGTATCGATGACGTCGCGCGGCCTCTCGGAGCCTCCGCCGATCCAAATCATCTCGCCCGCCTCTGTTGGCGAAAGGCTGGCGTTGCACTCGTCATGGCTCGTGAGCGGCAGCTCACGAGAGGTGAGTGGGCCATGGCAGACGGTGAACGAGCTAGCGTGCGGGGACAGCGGCATTGTGCACGGAGCTAAGTGCATTGCCGTTCTTAACGGAGTCGCTTAGGCGGCTCCGGTGGTGTGCCGGTGATAGTACTAGCACGCGCCAGTTCGCACCTGTGTCGAGCCTGTCTGCTGTGAGAGAGAGTTGTTTTGTTTAAATTCTTTTCCTCGCGATGTCCACCCCGCCGCGGCGCGCTCGCGCCGCCTCCGCCGCCGCCGCCGCGCCCTCGCCAGACGCGCCGCCGCCCGCCCGCCTCCTCGACCTCCCCAGGGAGCTCCTCGAGCGCGTCCTCTCTCACTGCCGCAGCCCCGTCGACATCGCTCGCGCCGCGGCCGTCTCGCTGCTCTTTCACTCCTCGCTCGCGGAGCAGGGCATCCGCTTGTGGGCGCAAGAGCGCGGCTTCGAGCTGCCGGCGAAGCCAGAGGGCGAGCCCTGCGCCGTGCGGTGGCTGTGCTTTGCGGCGTTGCTACACGAGTCCAAGCCGCCGGCGAGGGCGGCGGCAGGCAATTGGCACAGCGTCTTCATCGACGGCGAGGGGCGGCTCTCGTCGTGCGGCTCGGCGCCGGACTACCATCCAGTCCCCGGGCTGCTCGGCCACGGCGAGGGCGTGACGCGGCTCAACACGCCGACCCGCCTCCCGTCGATGCTGGGCGGCGAGCGCGCTGTGAGCGTGTCGGTTGGATTCGCCCACAGCCTCGCCCTCACAGGCAGCGGCACCGTTTGGAGCTGGGGCAGTGGAGGCTTGTGGGCGCTGGGCCACGGCGACCGGGAGCATCAGTGGCAGCCGAAGAAGATCGAGGCCTTGGCGGGCCAGCGCGTTGTCGCTGTGTCGGCTGGAGCCTGCCACAACCTCGCCCTCACCGCCGACGGTGCTGTCTGGAGCTGGGGCGATGGCTACTTTGGCAAGCTGGGCCACGGCAACGAGCAGAACCAGCTGCTGCCGAAGAAGGTCGAAGCCTTTGCTGGCCAGCGCGTCGTCACTGTGTCGGCTGGAGACGGCCACAGTCTCGCCCTCACCGCCGACGGCGCTGTCTGGAGCTTGGGCTTGGGAGCTGGCAGGTTGGGCCACGGCAACCAGCAGGACCAGCTGCTTCCCAAGAAGGTCGAGGCCTTCGCGGGGCGGCGCGTCGTCGCTGTGTCGGCTGGAGCCCATCACAGCCTCGCCATCATCGCCGACGGCGCCGTCTGGAGCTGGGGCTCTGGATCCAATGGCATGCTAGGCCACGGCGACCAGCAGAACCAGCCGCTGCCGAAGAAGATCGAGGCTTTGGCTGGCCAGCGCGCCGTCGCCGTGTCGGTTGGAGGGGCTCACTGCCTCGCCATCACCGTCGACGGCGCTGTCTGGAGCTGGGGCAGTGGAGCCTTTGGCATGCTGGGCCACGGCAATCAGCAGGACCAGCTACCGCCAAAGAAGGTCGGCGCCTTGGCGGGGCGGCGCGTCGTCGCCTTGTCGGCCGGACGCCGCCACAGCCTCGCTCGCGCCGCCGACGGCGCTGTCTTTACCTGGGGCGAGGGCGAGACCGGCTGCCTAGGCCACGGAGAGGACCAGTCGAACCAGCTGTTGCCCAAGAAGGTCGAGAAATGGGCGCCGGGGCTGTGAGAAGGGCGTACCTACCTCGGCTGAGCAGCCAACGTGTGGGGGACGGCCTTGAGTGCTAGCTGTGTGCCAGTAAGTATATTACTACCTACCTAAATACCTACCTGCGTGGCCGGAGGGAGTGATCACTCGAGGCTCGGTGGTCGAGGGACCACACAGTCTATAACCTCCCCAGGAGAGTACTTTTTGAGTAGATAGGTTGCAGCACTGATCCCGTCCCGTGGTCGCGGGCACTCGGGCAGGCGCGTCCGCTCACGATACCTCGGCTCACGCGCAGGTAGTTCGCATTACAGTAGCACTGAAGCCCCTAGGCCCTACCCGGACTCTCAATCACTATGCAGCACGCAATCGCTACTCTTGCGACTCGCCCTGCGGGCCGACGATGGCCTTTGCGCGAGCCAGCTGATATTTCGCGCACCCGTTTGTGGCGCTCCAGATCTCGGTCTGTCTAGGGTACCATACTTCCGGGCCGGTGTGCGGGGAGCGAACCTTAACGACCGCCCAGAAGCTTTCTGAGCGACCCAATCGGGCCGGGATCATCAGCATATGTCCCCTCCACAACATCGTGGGCGTTTGAGCGGTATTTGAGGAGTCCCGCCACTCTGAAGTTCGGCCGGGTGGTCTGCAGACCGCCCCCCCCGGAGCAGCAGAGGCTCCGTCGGGTCGAAACGTCGACGCTGGGAGTCGCACTCGTCAAGCCATCGCAGCACCACGCGGTCCGCACGTACCGCCCACATCCGCTCCACCGCTGAGAAGGCGCAGATCGACCGCCGGGCCGCGTAGTTGTCGTTAAAGTATGGTACCCTAGATCTGCCAATGGTGATGCCGAGCGGGATAATAGCAAACAGACCCCAATAAGAGTACGCAATGGGGCAGCCCATCAATAGCGTGGCAGGTAGGAGCCACACCAGCACAATTTCCTGCGCCCGATTGACCCAGTACATCGCGCCTCCCTGCAATTTGTTCTTCACATACCAGATCTTGTCCTCGAGCGTGGGCATCCAAAAGGACAGCTGTGCATACAAGCGTGACACCAAGTACAAGAGGCCCAAGCAGGTTCCAACAGCCAAGTTGAGGAACAGCAGGTACACTGCTTTGACGATGCCATAACACAGGTACACCAAGGGAGCCGCCTAAGACGCCTGCGAGGACAAAAAGAATTTTACAATACAACAAAGAATTTAAACAAAAGAACTCTCTCTGACAGCAGACAGGCTCGACACAGGTGCGAACTGGCGCGTGCTAGACAACAAAGAATTTTACAACAAAACTCCCTCGCACGACACTGGGCACGGGACTGGCGCGCACTGGCACTAACACGCGCAGGTACACCACTGGAGCCGCCTAAGCGACTCCTGGACAAAAAGAATCAGAGATGGAAAAATTAAATCTCTCGCGACCTTTTTGTGAGGTTTTCTGATACATTTTTACTCCTCCCTCAGCGCCGCCTCGAGGGCGCCCACCGCCGCCGGCGTGTCGAACGCCGTCACGAGCCGTACGCACTGCCGGCCCTCCTCCTCGCTGTCCTAGGGCGTGCCGCCGACCGTGCCGAGAGCCCGGACCAGCGCGTCGCCCCGCGGTGTGCAAGGCAGCGAGAGGAAGAGCTGGTTCGTCTGCACGGGGTGCTGCCAGCGGAAGCTGTCTCCGTCGTAGCCGGCGGCCGCCGCCTCGAGCCGGCGCGCGTTGGCCCGCTCCGCGCTGCTCCGCCACAGGGGCACGCCGCCTCCGCCGTCTGCGAGGTAGGCGGCGTACGCGCCCCCGGCCTTCGAGCGTACGAGCGACGGGTGCTGCAGAGAAGGTCGTGACGCGCCGCCGCCGCCCGCCGCCACCTCTGTCGCTCATGTTCACAGCCTTGTTATTGAGAAGAAAATACCTCGGATGGCGCTGTGCGCTGGTCTGTGAGAGGTTGAGGTGCGGGCCCTGGAGGCCCTGGGGATGGGGGGAGACTACCCGCGGGCTTAGAAGGCCCGCGCGCAGGGGGCATTGAGACCGGTCATGAATGACTTCACAGTTTCTCCCGATGCAACGCACGCGCCGCGGAACCTGTGCCAACGCGACGGCCCCCGCACTTGCCGGCCTTCCATCGCCTCTCTCCGCACCCTTCGCATGCCCGCATCAAGAGCCGACGAACAGGCGGCCTCGCTCGCAGCGGCGGCCAACGACGAGACAGTACTGACGTCCAAGCTGCAAGGCGGCGTCTGCGAATAGTGGCCAGGGGGGGGTGAAGAGCGCTCGAACGCGTCCCCAGCCACCCGCGGCGGGCAGCTCGCGCCCAGCTCCGCTGGGTCGGATACGAACGGCGTCTCAAAGGGATGGTGCAGCCGCTGTTGAAGCCGACGGCGGAGCCTGACGGCTGGGGACGTGGCGCGGACGTGTCATGGGCACAAGTCGCTCGGGCCACGGCCGGGACCAACCATCCCCTACCCCACGGTACCCGAACCCATCCTCCCCTACCCCACGGTACCCGAACCCACCCTCCCCTACCCCACGGTACCCGAACCCACGAACCTCGAGAACCTCGAGGTTTTCGGGGACTCGTGGGGCGGGGCTCCTGCTCCAAGAGCGTGGGTGTGCAGCCTACTCGCGAGGGCGCCAGGCCGCATGGAGGTGGTCGATATTCCCTTCGACCGCACGACCGAGTGGCTGCTGGAGCGCCGGATTGTCGGCGCCAGCTACACCAAGAGCTTGCGCACCGTGCACGCCCGCCTCGCCGCTGCGCTCGCCGCCGAGCGGCCGGCCGAGGCGCCGGCGGTCGCGCAGCTCGTGCCGCCGGGGACAGAGCGGGCGTCGCTCACGTACTTCGACGCCAAGGCGGTGATGCAGGCGCTGCTCGACGCCGGGCTGGGCGAGAAGACGCTCTTCGGCGGGTACTCGAACGCGCACACGGCGCAGTGGGCGGACATCGTCCGCCGCTTCGAGGCGGGCTCGATCCACCTCGCCGACGCCGCCTCGGCGATGGCGCAAGCCGTCGGGTACGAGCTGCCCGCGCTGAAGAAGGAGGCGGCGCGCGCCGAGAAGGAGCTGTCGGAGCTTGTGCGGCGGCAGGGCGAGTACGAGCGGCTGGCGGCGGCGGCCGAGGAGCGCTACGTCGCTGCGTGCGACAAGAAGGGCCTCGGCACCGACTGCTCCCGCGAGGAGATCGGGCGGCGGCTGCGCGAGTCGCGCTCGCTGCTGCGCGCGACGCTCGGATGCCCAGATGCCGCATGCACACCCGTGTTCTCCGACGAGCAGTCTGCACAATACCATATCTCCCCCTATCTCCCCCTATCTCCCCACATCTCCCCACATCTCCCCATATCTCCCCATAACTCCCCATATCTCCCCATATCTCCCCATATCTCCCCATGTCTCCCCATATCTCCCCATATCTCCCCGCAGCACGGGCTCCGACGAGCACTCTGCACAATACCGCGTCCCTCCCCCGCAGCTCGATGTCTGTCCCCATATCTCCCCATATCTCCCCATATCTCCCCATATCTCCCCGCAGCACGGGCGATGGGCCGACGTTTGCGCACCGTCTCAGACCCCACGCCTGTCGCGTCGACACCAGGTTCGCGCGCGTCGCGGCGCTCTGCCAGAGCGAGGAGATGGGTGGGGCGGTTGAGTACTACCTCGCGTACGTCCGCCACTGCCTCGAGGAGCGGCTACCGCACCACCCATGGGACTGAACCCACACTGGGTTCGAGACTGTGGAGGTATGGTGCTAGGCCGCCGCCAGGCTCGGCGCCGACGTCGGCGCCAAGGCGGCGCCACCCGACGTGACGGCGGACGGCGCGGACAGGGCTGGCAAGGCAGTCCGCCAGCCCGTGAGACACACCACATCTCCCCACATCTCCCCACACCTGCTAGCACGGAGGACGGCCGACACACACGCGCACACACACCCTTCCTGTCCGTGCTACACGCCTCCTAGCATCGAGGACGGGGCCCACGCGCGCGCACACACGCTGCGCGCGCGACTGGCTCGGGAGCCGACACGAGGCCACACACGCTGTCGCCGGGCGAGTCGCTGGGTCCCGGACCGCCGGACACAAAAGATCACAGGGGAGATGTGGGGAGAGGGGGGGAGAGGGGGGGAGAGGGGGGGAGAGGGGGGGAGAGGTGGGCCCCGGACCGCTCGACACGAGAGCCTCACAGACGGCAGCTCAAGAGGTGGCGTTGCCCTGGCGCTCGGAGATATGGGGAGATATGGGGAGATGTGGGAAGATATTGCCTGCAGGAGGAGGAGCAGGCCGCCGTCAGAGATATGGGGAGATATGGGGAGATGTGTGCCTAGGCAGCCAGTCAGTCTGACACACCTCCTAGCATGGAGGACGGGCCCACACGCACACGTTGCACACGATTGGCTCGGGAGCCGACACGAGGCGCACTGTCACCGGCCGTAGCACCGGGTCTGGACTGCTGGACACACAGCACACAGCTCACAGGACAGCTCACGAGGTGGCTGCCTAGGCGGCCAAGGCAAAGGGCAAGGCAAAGGGGGCGAAGGGCGGCGAGGGGGCTGGCGGCGGCGCCGTGGCGGGCGGCGGCACTGCGGCGCCGGCGGCGGTGGCGGACGCGGATGAGGTTGCAGCGACTAGTCTGGCGCGGTTGCGCAAAGTGCAAGCCCTTGATGCGTCGTCGGCTCTGGCGTCGGCCGAGGCCGAGGCGGCGGCGGGCGGCGGCGGCGGCGCAAACGGCGGCGGCGGCGGCGGCGCAAACGGCGGCGGCGGCGGCGGTGGTGGCGCGGGGGGCGGGATCGACTGGGGGGGCGAGGAGGGAACCGAGGCGGCGGAGGGCGGCGCGGACGGCGGTGGGGAGAGCGGCGGCGGCGTCGACTGGGCGATCGAGGTCGAGGCGGGCGGCGGCGGCGGCGGCGGCGGCGGCGGCGGCGGCGGCGGCGGCGGCGGCGGCGGAGTCGATTGGGGCATCGAGGCGGGCGAGGGCGGCGAGGGCGGCGCGGGCGGCGCTGAGGTGGACTGGACAGTCGAGGCGGGCGGCTTTGAGATCGAGGTTGCGGGCGGCGGCGACGCGGGCGGCGGCGGCGGCGGCGGCGAGCCGACGCTGTTCGAGACGTTTGAGGCTGAGGCGCCGCACGACAGCGCTGCTGCCTGTCTGGACGGCCGACCGACGCGTCCATGACGCGTCCCTCACATGGCTGGGACATGTCCACAGGCGCTGCGTGATGCGGCTGCTCGAGGACCTCCACCCTACCGACCCGGTACCCAAACCCAATGAAATCAACTAGGCGCTGCGCGATGAGCTGCTCGACGACCTCCACGAGCTCGATGGCTTCCTGAGCCAGCGGGCAGAGGCGGCCTCTCCTGGACCTCTCCTAGACCTCTTCTAGACCTCTCCTAGCCCTCTCCTAGCCCTCTCCTAGACCTCTCCTAGACCTCTCCTAGACCTCTCCTAGGCCTCTCCTAGGCCTCTCCTGGACCTCTCCTAGACCTCTCCTAGACCTCTCCTAGACATGTCCTCAGGCGCCGTCGAGCGAGGGGCTTCCGCCGGCGCTTCAGCTCGACGGCGCGGAGATCGAGGTGCGGCGCCTAGACCTTTCCTAGACCTTTCCCAGACCCTTTCCTAGAGCTCGACGGCGCGCAGATTGAGGCGCGGCGCGGCAGCGTTGGGCGCGCTCCCTCTCGGACCCTTCTCGGCACCTTCTCGGCACCTTCTCGGAGCGGGCGCGTAGGCGCGGCGCGACTGCGTGCGGCGCGCGCGTGCCGAACTCGAGGGCGAGCACACGCGCCATTTGCTGCTGCTCGGTGAGCCGAAGTACCTCGAACGGCAGGAGGCGTCGCTGCGGCAGCAGCTCGACTCGGCGCGCAAGATGGGCGCGCTTGCGGGCAGCCTCGCCACGCGGCAGGCGGAGCTGCGCCTTGAGCTCTCCGAGGCGCGCCCGCGGTATGCGGCGGCGGTCGCGAAGGTCAAGAAGTTGCAGGCCGACTTCGAGGCGACGCTCTCGGAGCTGCACTTCGGAGGCAAGCGCGTCAATTTGATGGGCGCAATCAATGCGCTCTAGAAGCTGCACCGGCTGCTGCGCGCCAAGCGCTGTTCTCTTTTGTAGTAAAACGCATCGCCCGCTAAAAAATCCCTAAAAACCGCAGTGTTCAGGTGGGAGTTGGTGCCCCAGGAGAAGGCTCCATGGAAGTTGGAAGCAAGTGGCAGATCTCACTGGCTCAGCGACGACGTCCTTGGCAGATCCGTACTAGAGTTGCGAAGCCAAAAGAATCTTACAACAAAACTCCCTCGCACAACACTGGGCACGGGACTGGCGCGCACTGGCACTAACACAGGTACACCACAAAGAACCTGGGACGAATTGACAGTCAACAAGATACCCAGCACCGCGCCCTACCTACAGCGATGCCTTGTCGCCTTTCAGCAGCTCCAAATAAAACAGAACCGCTCCCTCCTCGGCCACCACATCCAAGCCGAGCCGCTATGGAATAACTGGAGATTCCAGATAGATCTCCCGCAAGCGAGAGTCGAGCTGTGGACGTGCGACGGTGTATCTTTCACTTTATGCCACCGTTGCATATCCGGATATGCAACGGTGGCATAAAGTGAATGATACACCGTCGCAGGACGGACGAGATGGAGACTGCATACTTCTTCGACCTCATAGACCGAGAAGGCACCCCCTTCGATGAGAACGAGTGGAAGGATTTCTTCACAGACCTCGCCCCCGATGAGCTGGAAGACCGCATGATGGACGACCTAGATAGAGTCTTCGGGGCAATAGACGAGAATCTCTGGGAGGCCGCCGAGGCCCCGCCTGAGAGCGACCTCACAAAACAAATAGTCGCCGTCATCAACTATGACACCCACGAGATCAGCTACGCGTACGCAGAAGTTGACAGCCCGCCACAAGGCCAAGCACCGACGATCACATACCATGAGCTCTGGCTAGACACATCGAACAGGCCCCACCGAACTGGCAACACTATCGACCCGACGGGCCACATGATCGCTTCCACCGAATCATGGGACGATACTCCAACCGAGCCACCACCCACACACGGGAGCGAGGCCCTCGAAGAGATCCGCGAGAGGCGACGCCGAAAAGAACACGCCATCATCGGTCCAGCCCACCGAGTCTACCCGAGATAATTGGGATGGCGAATGAAAGGGCAAAAGGGAACAAAAAACGGCAAACACCGCAAGCTCTCCGATCTCACAATCCACAATATTACGGATCACCTCACCTCCAAGATCACCAAAGATGTCCGACCCAACTGTATCGAGAATTGGAAGTCGACGACTCACGGTATTAGATTCGACGTTAATTTCGACCTCGTCTTCGGCTCTCCTTCGGAACCGAGCTCTCAGACGCCACCGAGGAGAGACAGTGGAGGAAGTATGTTCACAGGGCCCTCAACGTCCGCAATCGCAACCCCCAACTAGAAGCAGCTGCCTAGAAGACAAAAAGTGCCGCCTCTGTGGAGTGGCCGAGGAGAGCATGCTACACCTAGTCGAGTGTATGCACTGTAAGCCACTGTGGGAAAAGTGCCTAACATTCTGCCGAGATGTCCTGGAGGGCCCAGTACGCCCGCAGACACATAGAGCCATTATCTTTAACCAAGAGAACTACGACACGATGCTCCCCGAGGCGGCCTGCGCCTTCATCCGCCACGCCTTCAACATCTTCTATCACGACTTCGCCAACGTCCCTTGCTTCATGTTCATATGGCAGCGAGTCTACTACAGGGCCCTCACCTCCTTCCGAAGCGCGGTCAGACGATATGGCGGCAAGATCCGACTCCAGTACACACACCGCCTGCACACGTCCCTCACGGAAGTGGTCTCAGAAGACAACACTCAACAGGAATTAATTCGCCTCAATTATTAGCATCGACCAACAGGGGAACTCTACCCTGAACGACAGCTTCACAGCAGCCATAGACCAGGCCTACTCAGACCTTAAGGCTGAGGAGAACAGGCAACAACCCAGACGGCTCTAAGCATTCATGGGAACGACTCTGCAGCCACCAGACAGGCAGCGACGAAAGCAGGCGAGACCCTTCCACACCCAGAATACCGCCCGCCATCGCCGCCGACCACGCCGCCGCTGCCAGCGCCACCTCCGCCGACCCACACGACCGCCCGACACCCTCTTCCGCCCTCGTGGCCACCCTGAACGATCTCCTCCTCCGAGGCCCTGGCGCCGTCGAGCTGTGAACGGCGCCTCCTCACACCCCTCTTCACACCCCTCGGGCTGTGGCGAGCAGGCAAGATCTCCTTCAAGAACCTGAAGCTCGGGTCGCAAAGGAGCTCGGCGAAAACATGACGGAGGAGGAGCTGCAGGCACCCCCTCCTCCCACCTCCCCACCCCCTGCAGCTCTCTCTTCAAACCCACACGCCCCCTTCCGAGGCCCTCCCGAGGCCCTCCCCGAGACCTCCCCCACCTGCCCGCCGCACCGCCTCTGCCTCACCCCCCCCCCCCCCCCTTCTCTCCCCCCTCCCACAGGACATGATCGAC